CAACACATTAACCTGTTTTGTTTGTATTTCTGCAAACCTTGGAGTATTCAGTAAGCCTAAATGTATCCTGATTTTATCCTTTGGCATTCCTAGGATGCCCTCAAAAATGAAGCAAGCAACAGCTAAGTTACTGGATAAGCTATTGGACAGCCAGTATTGCATGGAAAGGAAAAAAAGACTATGGCTAAATTGGCTATGTAAAACAAAAACAAAAAGCCCATTTAGATATTCATTAAATAGTAGGGGAAAAATAGAAGCATTATATATAGCATTTGAAGCCTCACATATATTCAGCAGAACTGAAATAATTTGCAAATTATTTGACAGTTTCTGACATTTTATATAAAATGTCATAAACACACAGACATTAATGCACTGGATCGTTAATATACACATAGGTTTTCTGTGTATCATACATACAGTAAACAAATAAATAAATGCACACACAAACCAATCTTTTGTGCCCTATTAAAACCACCTAATGAAAGCCTCTATTTTTACTTTTTCTGAGGCTACTATAAACAAGGGATAAGTAATACGATGGGAAAGGGGTCAGTGAGACCTGTAACCTTGTATACTTTTTTTCATGTTCATAGACGAGCATCTTTGAATCCAAGCTACACACACACATGTATGTATGTGTATTTATATTTTATAGTATTTTGGATACATAAGATATGAATAATTCATACAAAAATATAAACCAATCTGTCAATCTATCTATCATCTATCTATCTTTAGCAAAAAGGAGTTCTCTATCTGCCTACCTTTATTTTCTCAGTGTTAAGACTTATTGCAGAGAAGGTTTACTTCACAAGTCTTAGATATTGACCACCTGCACTCAGTAACTAAACAGCAGAACCTACCAAGGACTCAGCATGATTAGACAAAAGCTTTACTGCAAACTTAAATAAGTCACATCTACCTCTATCACTATCCGTTTGTCAGTCTATCAAGCCCACAGGGTTTAAATCTTAGATCTCTTTCTCCCATCCTTTCATGTTAATGGATGCTTTGCTGTACTTTTCCCAGATGAAATGCAGAAGGCACCTGCAGGGCATTGGCATAATGGCCTGGTCGGAGCCTCTTTTCTTCCTGTCTTGCCAGCTTCAGCCCTTCTGGTGAAGTCAGTGTATCCAACATTATATAGTAATCTCATTTCTCTCCACCCCCAACCCACTACTGTTTTGCATAAGAAGCTTAGAAGCCGTAGCAGCTTATTAATTTAAATATTTTAATTATTTGGTACATGCAAACAGAAATACTACTGAATTTCGAGCCCACTTGATCTGGTAAATCAGATTAAAAGGTCAAATAAGTTAGAGAAAATCTAGGTTAACTGTGGGGAGAACCTATCTCAATGCAAAAGGCTCCTTGATGCAGAAACTATTTCTCTGTGTGCACCTGACCGGGGTAGGGGCAGGAATAAAGCTGTGTCTCCAGAGTCTGTTAGGGCTTGAGTTGCTGGATCCTGTTCTACTGGATTATTGGCTATTGACAATAATTCTGTTTCACACAAATTCAGGATTTCAAAATCTTTTTTAAAAAGAAAGTTATGAACCATGGTGTGACTTTGTATTTAGTTTTCTGGAATAAGTGCCATTTAACTCAATGGGACATAATAAAAACCTCTGAGGTTGCTAAGTTCAGGAAACAAGGACTGCTTTATTGCTAGTAGGGCACTGCAAATAGACACTTGAAAGCCTACCAGTTACTCTCCCACACAACTTATACCTAGTGTAATTAAGGCAGGGTTACTCTGAGTCTCTTTCTCAAGCTTCTGAGATTCTTCTCTTTTTTCTGCAACAGCCCTGTTTCCTCCCTTAAATGTCTTGCTGCCTCCTCTGGGTTCCCAAGGTCAGTTAGGCACTCAATCCATATGGACTTCTGAAATGACACATGCAGAACTGCATGTTATTTCATCACAGAGCTAGTACCTTTAAACATCTAAAAAATAATAATCTCTCAATGCCAGAGTTTATGGACCGCAGAAACATTTAATCAATCATTAAATACAATAAACAGGATAATTATAAGACTCGTTAACATGCAGCAAGATGGACAATGCCAATTGCCAGGACTTTCTCAATGGTAGCATTTTACAATGTAACATGTTAAGCAAGAACCCAAGAAAAACATTTTCTTACAATGCTACAGAAAAAGAGAGATAAATCAAAATGGATCTTATTCATGCTTTCTTGGTCAGAAGATCTCTTCCAGTATCTTTAACTGTTAATTGCATATAGTCCAAGCAAGAAAAATAAAAGCTGGGGAGTTTAAAATCTCGGAAACATTTCTATTTCCTGATATGCATTTGGGCTTTCCTTGCAAAACAGTTGATACTTGTTATTTTACAGCCCAGTATCTCAGCAGGACATTTGAGTTTCCCTATTCAAGATCCCATTAACTCCCCCTGTTTAAGATTCCATAAACATAGGGGACTCTTCATTAAACACCTATTTAAACAGGTCACAAGGGAGAATGCATAGATATAGGGTAATCACCGATAGTCATTAACAAACAGTTCTAAGACAGAAGGCCACATGATTCATTTCTCTGCTTACGTGCTATCCCAATTAGCCGTTCATCAAAGCCAGCGAACCCAAACAAGTAGAACAGATTGAATCATACTTGCTGTGCAACCCCCAGCAAAATCCAGCAGTCGTCACAGTTCTTTTATTTACATACATACATATGGTTTTTATTAAATATTTTTTTAAAGGAAGATAAAAACTAATACAAACTAATATAAAGTAAGAAAAAGAAAAAGAGAAAGAAATCAAAGCTAAAAGTGCAAGAAAGGAAAGAAAAAGTAAAAGAAAAATAGAAAAGAAAGAAAAAAGATACAAAGAAGTAGCTTCCGATCTTCTTTATAGCAATTATAACCACAATTATAAATCAAACTAATATAAAGTAAGAAAAAGAAAAAGAGAAAGAAATCAAAGCTAAAAGTGCAAGAAAGGAAAGAAAAAGTAAAAGAAAAATAGAAAAGAAAGAAAAAAGATACAAAGAAGTAGCTTCCGATCTTCTTTATAGCAATTATAACCACAATTATAAATTTACCTCTTACTCTATAGTTACAAAATAATTCTCTTCTTTCTATAAACATTCCTGTCTAATAATCTAAACCATAAATTATAAGTTCATTTTTTTCTGTTTCACACAAAAAGTCTATAAGGGGTTTCCAGTCAGCAATAAATGTAGATATTGTCCAGTCATCACAGTTTTGATATAGCCATAGCATATATGGATTTGCTCTAGAGAAAAACAAGCCCCAGATCCTATGGATATCATAAGAGACAGCCTAGATCAATGTTTCTCAACTTTGGCAACTTTAAGATGTGTGGACTTCAACTCCCAGAATTCTCCAGCCAGCATTATGAGTGTTGGAGTCCACACATCTTAAAGTTGCTAAGGTTGAGAAACACTGGCCTAGATGTTGGAGTGGATTGGGGGAACAAGTATAGGTCTGTCTGTCCTCAGACATGGAAACAAAATTGGGTTGTTTTGGGCCAGGCTTTCTCTCAGCCCAGCATGTCTTAACAGGGAAAAAGTAGGAGGAGGGAGTGCTATGAACTCTTAAGAGGAAGGGTGGGATTTTAATCTAACACCATATAAATAAAATTATTGCTCAGATAGACCTTAATGCTACACTTCCACCACACTGATTCCTAGGGACTCCATTTTGTGCAGATAATCTTAATTTTATGTCATTTTCTGAGGTCTCTGAGTTTAAGGAGACCGTTAGTACAAGTGCTGCATATGCATTTTTTTTTTTAAAGGATCCGTTGGATGGCCCATTTCATTTAAAAAATGGGGGTGTTCATTTATTTGTAAAACAAATGAAAAATGAAATGAATGAGCTCCATTCTCTTCAGAAGTGAAAACAGAGAAATGAAAATGAATGGATTCCAAACGCAAAATTAATTCAGGACTCATTTGTTTGAACTGAAACCCTTGAACAGTCTCACAAGGCCATAAAAAAGGTTACTGGGAAGGGGAAAAGTGTGTTGCATGGAGAACTTTTCAATATCTGATTAAGAACACATATTTCAAGTGGTGCATGAAGAAACAATAAAATTTTGGAATGACCTTGTTTCAACTTATAGACAAAATCAAGTAGTCAGTATGTTTTAGATATATGAATGCTTCTTCAGATGACTTCCTAGATGTTTTACGCCAATATGACTGACCACTATATACTTTGAGAATCTTTGGTTCCAGCTGAAACTGTTTTTTATTTACAATCTCCTTCTAAGTTAAACTGTTCGATCTATAAGATTAAAGTGATACTCACAGATGTTCCAGTACCATCTCTGATTAAACAGATTTTGCAAGTTCCTTGTTAAATCCTTTAAAACTAAAAAACCTACTACTTTCTACAGATATTTGCTATCAATAAATCAATTTGATATGCAGATGATAAGAGATAAGTGGAATAAAGAATTAGAGGTTCCTATATTGCCTAGACAGTGGGAGAGTGTCTTAACTTCTATAGCAAGAGTGTCAGTGGACCTTAAACTGTGACTTATACAACAAAAATATTTAGAATTTATTGGACTCTATTACGTTTGTATAGAAAAGGTCTGTCTAAGACAGCATCTTGTTGGAGATGTAGTGCTTCTTTAAAACACATGTTTTTACAATGTTGTATACTTAGAAAGTAGTGGACCATATAAATGTGATTTTGTGACAAGAACTAAAATTCTCAGATGATAATATTCTTTTGAATTACATACCTAGTACATGGAATCTGACAACTGGACAATC